GTTCTGAATGTTGTGATTTGACGCTATACAAACAAAATTGGATTAATAAATCCACTGAGCACCACTCGCTCTGCAGCAGACATCCAGAAACTAGCAGGTAAACAAAGTGAAGTGACTTTTATATTATATATTTGTTATATTATTGATTATTTCTATGTATTGTTGCTTTCTAGCAGCAGGGACATTTAAAAGGACGTTCTGAGATTAGTCAACTTCAACAAAGACATACGCACCTTGAGTCCAAATCGGTACCAACCGCATGGACGCTCATATTTCTCTCCGCCTCTCCAATAGGTCTCGGTCTCAGTCAGCTTGGTGAAATCATAGTCATACTGGGGGGCAAAGAACTCGTCCTCATCGATAATCAGATTCTTCACAACCGGCTCATCCAGTGCAGGAAAGTCAGCTGCAGGACAGCTTTCCAGGATTGACTTGATGTGGTAGAAGCTGGATCTTGACGCTGGGCTGTAATGTGAAGGAAAGAGCTGTACATTAGTGGTCTCTTGTTGCAGTCATTCACATAAGAAACAGTAACTATACTACAGGCTCGCAGCACATTCTGCAAACAGAAAATGCATTCATTAACTTCACAGAATAAAATCTGATCTCATGATTTTGGGTAAAAAAAGCTCCACTTCTTACGAGGTTTCATCTGCATCCGTGATAGTAGAGACGAGAAGGTTGATGGACAGCTGCTGCTGTATTCCCGCAGGAAAGCTCGCTCTGGCGAAAGCAGCTGGTGAACTTTGTTTCTGGACAGACGTCACATGGCCATTGCAGAGCGCTCCCAAAGCCTCCAGTGCAATGTTTCTATCAACCATGTTTACAGCGAGCTCTGGTCCGACGGAAACTGAGAGTTCTGAGGTCCTGTCTTCTGACTGCGGGGAATAAGGGGAAGTAGAGCTCATATTTATATGCACACACTGAGACAGACAGGTTGGACTTGGGTGAGGCAAAGATAAAAAGTGTACAACCCTGAAATTATCACACAGTTACAGGAAAGGTGTGATGAAATCTTCCAGAGAATTTGTGAAAGACAAACAGTACTCTGATGGGGAAGTGGATTAGTGATCTGTGGCCAGGGGATAAAACTTTCCATTGTTAGGCTACATGTGCATATTGATCATGATGTAGTAAATATATGTAGCACATAAAAGGCTAAGTATTATCGTAAAGGTCATCAGATCAGTATGGAATTTTACATTCATGCACTAGACAGAAATTGAAAAACAAAAGATTTTATTTGCTACTCTTTTAAATGCCAAACTATTTCACAAACAGTTGCAGATAGTATTAATCAAAGGTTTGTCTGACAAAATTTACAGCTTGTCATGGGCAGAGGTTTAAAACTGGCAGCATGTGTTTATGAGCGTGATTGGAGGCATGCATAAACCTTTACTACAATAGTAAAGTAAGTCAATGGCATAAAACTAATCTCAGCCGAACAAACTGCCAATGTAATAAAAAATGAATGATCAGATATAACAAAGGTGAAATCCCTTGTAAAGATCATTTCATCATTTATTTTCCCTCTCTCTTCATACTTGTCTGGAAGGAGCGATTGTATCACAGACACTTAGTGACAGTGGAGTTCTCCGAGGAAGAATCTATCTATTTTTTTAGATACAAGCCCACACGCCAACAACAGAGTGCTCTGCAGATGAACGTTTCTATTTTGCCAAGTGTTCTGAATGATTTGCTTGATCTTATATCTTAAAACTAAAAGATAAAAGAAAGTGTCTTCTGGGTGTTATCGTACTGTTAGAATGACCCTTAGCGATGATGCAGTAGGAAATGAGCAAGAACGATAGTAAGATATATCAATAAATGTGAAGATTTATTTCTTTTTTAGCAGCAAGGACAAAATGACAGCATCCAAAATGTGATCATAGCAGCAACAAACATGATGGTCAACCTGCGCCTTAAATACTGCATCACTGGTTTACCTAATTGGAATTTACCATTAACAGAGGATCATTCATTCCCACATATCATATCCCCACATTCAAATACAAATAAATATAAATATACACCAACTATAGAGCACCCCCTCACCTATCCTCCCACTTGGTCCCCCTGTTTGGATGGGACACCCTGGAGCAGACAGAGGAAAGGACGTTAATTTTTGAATGCACACTTTAACAAAAAACTACTTCACCTAATCGACAACAAGCGACCTTCACAATATATATATAGCACACAAATCTACACAGATGCACACACATTTAACTTTAGTTCATCAATAATGAATCTCTGTTACAACTGGCGTTGTCGGATACTTGATCTCACGCCGTCCTCTTGAAGGAGCCGACTACACGCTGCAGCACCTGCAAGACGACTGCTCAATCACCGGTCAAACTATTCCACACACAAGTCACAAACGCAACAATAAATTATGACTTGTTAGAAAAATGTGCAAATATGCAATGTGCAAAATGTTCTGTGCAAATCCTGCGAATAAAGTGCTGATACTGTTATGAAAGTGCAAAGTGCCGTTATTTATGTGCATCGTTAACATATTTGTTTAAAGTGCAATAAATACAAATCCCCATTTGTGCAATGTTTGCAAGCCAAAGGCCTACAGTTACTAGTAATGAAGTTCCCTTCATTACATGTACATAGACAGAAAATGATTGAACTCATTGTTTTGCTGTTTGGAGTAATATATATTTATATATTTGTTTTTACAATATAGACTTCCATTGTGAGGAGCCACATTAACAAATCCACCAGTTCCATGGAACAACATTGCAACCCTCAGCAATGCCGAGTATGACACATTTTAGGGACTAAACACACCCTGATTCTTATCAGCTTCCTTTTTTAATTATGTCGTTCTCTTCTGTGGAAATTTAAGTCACATGCTTTCCTCTGTAACTCTCGCTTTAATGACCACACAGAACTGAACCCGAGGGCACAACAACAGACAGTCTTAATGTGGGCATTATGGTTTATTTGCCGACAGAGCAGATAAGATATAAACCAGGATCAGTCCGTATAGCAAACAAATCCAAGTCCAAATTACATTTAAGGGCACAGTTGGGCCTTGGTGGACGACTGAGCATGACTAAGTGCCGTTCTAGTTTAATTGTGAACAACCGAGTGCAAGTGACTGTTTTTCCGGAACTAAATTAAAATGTAGATAGTTATATCTGTATTTCTACAATATTAAAGTCTCCCAGATCAGACTGAGTACTGCATTGAGTAGCATCCAATGAGTGAACACAAGACTCTTGAATAGTCCAGAACTGGCCTTATCATTGTAGGTGCCACTCTCTCTGCATCTTACTCTAACAATTAACATGTCTAACTTTCCTTTTCTCACTAACCTAGTGAAGAACACAGGTTAGTCATATTGTATTGTCATTGTGATCTGAATTATTTGTTAAACTTGACTCTTGCTTAGCCGATACTGTTAGTAAAGACAAATGCCCAGATGTAACAACCAAAATGAACTGAAAAAATGATCATGTTCAAGTTTCGCGCTCAGGATCACACATCAGGTGTGCGCCCCATGACCCATGAGGTCACAGGGCCAATAAACTCAGAGTTTCCCCTCTGGAGAATGGAAAACTTGCATATGAACTTTGCTTGAACTCTTTCCTATGTCTGATCAATGCTCGTGTGCTGTGTTCAACAATAACTCATAGAAACAGAATTAAGCTTGCATAAGACGAGCTGTCGTACGTGCAGACGGATGATTTGAAACTAGACAGACACCTTTTACTTTTTTACCTTTAACTAACAAATGCCCTGACTGTTGCTATGCACTTGGCAGATGTAACCTCAGAGTTCATGTCGTTTCTTGATGATGATCGTCTTGTTGACCCTGATCTTGGCAGTAGCAAACTTCTTCTTTCATGCAGAAGTAAGAGCAGACCGCTTCCTGTTTTAACTAGACGACAGGTGGCTTCAGTTTTTCATGCTATTACTTAGAAACAGTTGTCTCTTATGTTTCCTGTATACCTGACTGTATAAAACCTTCTTCTTTCCCTATTGGGGGTGGTTCCACTCTGAGTATTCATGCTGAGTGTGAAACCCTCTGCTGAGCTTTCTATTAAATGACCTAAAGACAACTCCGGTCTGAGAAACTCTTTATTTCACATCTCGAGATAAATTTCCACCACACTTCCAAAGGCAGCGAAGCGAGAGCCTGCCTTATAACTTCAGCACGACACAAGGTCTGACCAGCAGCTGCACAACAGGAGCAAACAAACCAACAAGACCACGTCACTGGACTTCGAACAGCACATCCAAAAAGGACCTTTCCCTCTTTTTCATGGACAGGTAACACAACTGGGATTTATTATTACGCTAGGCTAAGCAAAGGACTGTTTAATCCTATTTCTATTTCATGTGATGTTTATGAGTTTGACTTGTGTTGTTGTGATATTTGGTAATATGTTATTTGAAAGTTAATGTTAGTTCTGTTATGCTGTTCTTTTTCTTTGCATGCATCTAACTACTTTCTTTAACCTGGGACCAACACACACACACCTGTTTATAGTAAGTACACCTTTTGTTAGTTTGTGTGTTTACACTTTTATTACTTTCATAATAAATGTTTTTTGAAACACGTCTTCATTAATGTTGCATAAGTGTGAATTTTGGCAACCTCTACACACCGTCAAGAACTTCATATCCTTCAACTTTGCTAGCTACTCATGTAGTTATTTTGGTTATAGTTATTATTTTAACTATTAGTTCCAAATTTGTAGTCAGTAATTTCATGAGACTAAATCAATAAATCTATCTTTTCCCTTCCTTTGAAGGGTGGTCTCCTGAGGTAACTTTAATCAATTGAAGTTATTATTTAATATTCATAGTTTTAATATTCAATATTTTCTTGATAGCCAAATTTATTGAATTCCCAAAAGCACACCATTTAATGGTGCCATGCTTCAGATTGGATTTCCTTTAAATGACCTGTTGTCAGTTGGGTTAGGAGAGAGTTGAGAAACAATTGTGAATGATCAGGTTTCAATGATGGTGGACAGCACATAGACACAGACACATCACAGTTTACAGTACTGACAAGAACAACATTTATTCAAACATTAATAAGAGCAGCAAGACAGAGACAATGAAAAGTACAGTCAGGTGCAGAAAACTTCAGCATCCTCTGAATATTTTCATAATTTAAAACATAATATTCAGTAAAGATGTCACTGATTTAAAACGTTGTTGCTATCTTAACTGGATCATCATCAGAGTTTCTGGAGACAGAAACCTGTTGAGTCCAGTTTACTGCAGAGGCCAGCAGGTCCAGGTGTCCAGGAGGAGGTTGATCAGAATGAGAGGTTGATGAGCGGAGCGTTGTTCGTCTTATCTTCTGGACTCCACTTGATGAGCGGAGAGCTCAGGTCGATCAGCTGCTTTAACAAAACAACACATTTTTGAAAACAACTTAAAATTCACTTTTAATCTTCAAATTTTCAGAAGATATTACTTCATCTCCTCTAATTAAAAGATTTGTCTAAAGAGCAGGTTTTGAGCATATTTAAATAAGAACATTTAAGTAACGAAGGATAATCACCAGTTGTAAAAGCGGAAAAAAAGCCTTAAAATGTGTCAGTTTCCCCTCTAATTATAATATAAAATCCTTCCCTATAAGTGAATTAAGTGATGGGTTTATTTGATCAGTTGAAAGGGAGTTTAACCACTCAGAAATCTGTGCTTATAATCCAACATATACCATAAAACTGATTGATTTATCTACTAGTTATACTTAAAATTCATTTAAAACATTTCCACTAAACAATCACCAACATGTACACTTGCTTGGGTTGCAGAAATAGCATATTTAGTGAACGTTGTGTTGTGAAGAATGCAGAAGGGGATTTTGCAAGTCAGACACGTTCACAACAGGAAAACAGGCGTGAATTGGCGTCTGGGTAGAGCACGTGTTTTTGTTTACAGCACATCAACACAACACCCTTATTATGGAAAGTTCTTGGATCTCATCATCTTTCCAAGTTGACATCTTCTCCTACATGTATGGCTTCTCTTCCTCATCCGGAGATATTAATATTCTTTTTGTCACGTGTTAGAAATGTTATCAGAACAGCCACTCGCTCGCCCTGAATCCTCTGGAAGATCTCTGGCTGTGTTCTCACATGGGCTCACGCTGACATTCTCTGGAGTATTTTACTAGGAGGCTAGCAGGAGAAGCTCTGGAAAATGCCTTCAACATTTGACTCAGAGATTTGCATTCTCACATACAGCCCCTCCGGATAATTTCAGGAGAATATCCGGAGTTCAGTGCATGTCTGAAAGCAAATTATGAAGCTCCATAAAGCAGAGGAGCTGCACACTCAAGTGATAATTCTCTGTAGGCTTAGGCAGGAATGTCCACTTTTGGACATACGTATATCACGACTTCACACATTATTGCTGTGAAACTGTTACAACATATCATCTGTGGATATAACCAGGCATGAGGTGTTACCTGATTTGTGGTGCAGGTCTTGCCAGTTGTCCTGATCAGGTCAGGGGTGTTGGTCAGGTCGATAAGCAGTTTCTCTTGAGGCTGCAGTGTTGGAGCTGGAAGATCCAACAGGAGAACCTGTAGCGAGAACAGAGGGTGATGATGATCTGAGAGGCTCTCTGAAAACATTCAGCTGACTGAACAAAACAAACATTATGGTCTGAACATCAGATATAAAATTAGTTTCACAAAATTAATAAATCAGTGAGGAGACAATACATATTACCACGTATGATGTTCTGAGTTCACTCAAATGAGAGACCACTGTGACTAAACTTGACCTCATCTGCTGCACTTTTTCACTGCTTACTTTCTGCTTTGTATCAAACAGAAGAAACTACTGAGCTTACAATTACTTTGCACAGTGAAACTGGGAGAAAAACTATTATCGCCCCTATCAATTTGAGCTGGATCCACTGAAGGCTCTCCCTTTGTCTATAAGGCAGTTGGCAGTTCAATCTCCAACAACTGAAGGTGTGTCTGTCCTTACAACAAGGCCAAAAAACAAATAAATAATAAATAAAATAATAAAAAAATTAGACAGGCTCAAACAGGTAGTTCTTTTCATATGTTCTGGGAGAGTGCCTCAATGTTCCACTTCTGAAAGCTCGTCGCCTCTAACCACTCCAAGCCAATTGTAATCACAAAGAATTAGAAAGCCCTCAAAATGTACAACTCTCCTCAGTCATGGGCAGAGGATTAAAACTGGCAGCATGTGTTTATTAGAGCGTGACCTCTGACCTCCTGTGCTTTGACGTTGCTTTCCTCTGCAGTCCCCAGTTCGATCAGGTTTTTAATGGGCTCTGATTGGACCTGATTCTCTGTGTCAGGCTCCGTGCTCTCTGACTGTTCAGGCTGTGGAGCACTGCAGGGTGGTGCATCGGGGGGCTGTTCCTCCTCCAGACAGAAGGGTTGAATATCTGGGGCATCACCAGGCTGCTCCTCCTGTAAATCCGCAGGGACAGGGCTACATGGGAAGATAACACAAAACAGAGATAAATGACAGATTTAGAACTCTCCATGTTTTCTCAGCGTAACAGCCAGGAAGCAGGGGTGCGGGCAGCTTTTTCGTGTTTCTCACCTGCAGCTGCTTTCCATCCTGGTAGCGCTGGGGGCGGTGTTGGCATTAGAGGTGGGCGGTGGCTCGGCATGCCTGGTCTTGGTTGGCGTGGGTGTGGGAATAGCAGACATCCTGTGCCTCACTGGGGTGGGAAGGGCAGAGGGACGACGCGCCTTCATCTGCAGAGACTTGCATCCCCCAGCAGAGGGCGTCAGAGGACCTGCAGTAGGCTTCTGAGGAAGACTACATGAGGGGAAGACCATTACTGACGGCAGTAGCCAGAAACCTAATAGTAAGTTGAATAAAATCCCAATAAACACAACTAGAGCTCTTAGACTGAGGCTACACAGAAGTGAAAGTAGTTTTAGACTTTAGGTGTCATTTTACCAAATCTATTTCACAACGGTCTACGGATACGTATGATCTTTCTCTCTCTGTGCCAACCTGTCGAAATTTCAGTAGGGGGCCTCTGTGTCAAAAACATGATGCGTGTTAAGTTATTTGTGTCGGACTAACCATGTGTCCATGCATGGACTCCTTTTTCTTGACCAATCAATGGACCATACAACAGCCTGCATGGTGTGTGATCAGGGACTTTAAAGGGATAGTTCACTGAATAATTTAAACTACGCCGATGGAGCAGTTTTAAACATTTGTCTCATAAAGTCTAGAGCGAATCAAACAAACACAAAGTAAACGTAGGAGGAAGACAGACTGGTAAGACTGTCTCCATACATTGTTTACAATATATTCTACTTTAACCCATCAGTGTTTGTGCCTATTTGTGTCCTCAATGATTGAGTGGATCAGATCCATTACAATGTTCCATGCTGCAGTTACAGAGAAACATTATTTTTAATTTGCAGTTGTGCTTGTGTCTTCCTGATGAAAGTAAGTACAATACTCTATTTTAGCTCAGTTTTTGGTCTCTACACACCTGAAGGAAAAAGGTGGCTTTTTTAGCTGCCAAATGCTCCACTGTGATCACCAGCTACACTGTGCACTCACTGTCTTTGTCTGCTGATGTGCAGGTAGGCTTCGGTGGCTTTTATGGGCTTTTTCTTAGAAAACAGCAGCTCTGTTGCATCCGAGAATCCAATAGACAAAAAGTCTAAATCCATTCTAGCCGTTTTAAATGAATCTCCAGGTCAGAGGTGTTAAGTCAGTATTTGTTTAACTAGATTCAAAGCTCCCTTAGTTTTCTTGGAAACCAAGTCATGTTTATGCTCATAAGAATATAACATGCTCCAAATTGGGATATAAGGCTGCCTGCTCCCATTCGGTTATGTGTGATTCCTAACTTACCTAAGACTTTATACACAAAGATTTCACTCTGCACTATTTGAACACATTCAGCATTTTTTTTTTAAATATTTTCATGCACATGAAGGATGTAAATGCAGGATGTAAAGCAGATGACACATTTCCAGTGACAGTTGTGTAGTATGATGTTACCCACCTTTCCGTGCCGCTCACTGACACCAGTCTCTTTGGCTTCAGCATCTTTGAGACGCCTGGTGATGAAAAACAACAGACACAGGTTTATTAGAGAATCAAATAGAGAAACTGAAAACTAACTTAGTTTACCCAAAAGATTTAATTAAAAAAGGAATCTTAAGGTACTTAAGGCATCAAGCTGTCTTATTGCATTTAGTCTATTTTAACAAAGAACCACACTGAGGTTGTATGCAGGAAAAAATGAAATTAAACTGGTACCATTGTTTGTTCTACTCCCTATTCCATTTTTACATGGAATCAATATTTATACTCACAGAACAGTGCAAGAGTAAAGTGAGGATGCTTTAAAAATAATATAATGGCTAGTTTTTATTTATCAGGTGACTTAATGCAAAGTACAGTTTATAAATCCATTTTCTGCCTCTAAAACAGCAGCAGTTTTCCAGGTACTTTGCAGGATGTTCTTCTGTGGATTTAGACTTAGTCTGATTTAGCAGCTCTGTTCTTAGTAATTAAGTCAATAAAGAAATCGCACTGGAGCAATGTTTTTGACTGCTGATGATAATATCCTGCAGATCCCCCTAGAGCATTGTTTGTCACAGCGCTACAGTGTGGAGGAGGAGTTTAGTTTTCAGTAGCATAATCTATATTTCTGTCTCTGAACACAAATAACAATTTTCTGAATTTTTGACATTCACAGCTTCTCTCACCATCTCCTTGGTGGACTCCTCTCACTCCTCCGTTGGGTGTTGGTACCACCTGAGCCTCAGGTTTGGGTTTCAATCCACTTTGCGGGCGGACAAAGGCGGTGGGGGGGACGGAGGTGGTCCTCTGAAACACTCTCTTGGCTGGTGTCAGCTGGAGGGGCGTGGCCTCAGCTCTCTTCAGTGGCGTGGACCTGACTGCTTTGATGGGCTCTACCTCAGACAGCTTCCTCCCCATCATGGACAGCGAGCGCCGGCCTCCAGTGGTGGAGGACGTTGGCTGTGCGGTGGCATAGACAGTGGAGCGACGTGGTTTGCTGGGATTTGCCAGTCTGTTGATGCTGGTGGGAGCCGGGGCAGTGGTGCTGCTTAGACTCCGGTTCAGAGATGAGTTTAGTTTACCTGAGAGGAGAAACAACATCTGTACTGCTGCATGTTCACATTGGATAAAAGCAGGTTAGTCATTGTAGAATTTATTTTATTTAATCTGAGCATTTCCCAGGTTTTTACATAGGTTCCCTCCTACTGCTAGTTGTTGAAATAATAAGAACAAATCCAAGAGTTAAGAAAAAAAATTATCAGCAGCTATCAGGTCTCTTTTAAGTCCAAAGGATTGCATGTGAGAATACTACAGGAAAATGTCCAGAACAATAAAATCCAGTGACTACCCTACAAGTAGGAGACGCTGAAAAAGATGTCAACTTAGAAGACTCATCGCAGTGGAATTTAAACGTCATGTCCTGCCTCCCGCATGCTATACCCAGGGGCCATCCCTTGCCTGAATGCTTCCTGTTGTTGTGATCGTGTCTAACCCAGACAATCTCCTGTTGTGTTGTTCATATGTGAAAGGCAAACTCTGAACTGAACCCATTTTCCAGACATATCTGAAAAAAGTAAGATGAGCATACTTTGGACTGATTATTACAAACTCCAAAACACACTGAAGACTGCATTATCACTTTAAATGTATTTGTATGTAAGCTTTAGACTTAAAATGCGTTCGGGTTGACAGTTAGTGGGTAACCATTAGCTGTTAGCATTTAGAGTACCTTTAGCAGGGGACACAGACAAACTGGAGTTGAAGCTGGAAACTGAAGATGAGGATGACGACGTGTTCTTCCTGTCTGTCACCCTCCTGTTCTGAAGTGGTGGAGCTTTCACTCCTGACAGCTTCCTCACAACATTCTGATGAATTGAAGAAAAAACAAACAAACACCAGTTTCATTAAACGTGTTTGACTGCAGTGTCTGATGCTGTCCAAAAGATGGAGCCGTTGAACCAGACGATGAACTAATAATTTGTTTTGGCACTGGTGTTACAGAAGACACATTTGTTACCTTTGTGGGCGGAGCCAATGAGCGTTTTCCCAGCAGGCTGGAGTTGAGGGATGAGTCGCTGAGGTCAGAGGCCACGCTCGCCGAATCGGAGAGCAGATCCTCGTAAGACTCTGCCCTGCTGGAGGGACGGGAGGACGGGCTCCGCCTTCGACCCCCCACCACCTGAAGAAAAAACCAGTGGTGATGTGAACATATTTTCATTCATCTACTAACTGAGCAATTCCAAAGCTGGGGGGTTAGGACCCCAGCAACGGGTCACCAAGTACCACTGAGGGGTCACGGATGAGCAATAGGAGAAGAAATAAAATTGCTCTATAGCACAAATTACAAGTTAAACCTCAAACCTACAGATAATATATATTTTTCATTGCCCTTTGTCCTACAACTGCACTCTACTACTGAAAAAAATGTCAGAATGACTCTTTAATGACATATTTAAAGTAGCATGCTCTGTACAACATGGTGGAAATGCACCAAGAACCCATAAGGTTCTTTTAGCTCAGGTTTGGTTACAGGCCACAGGTTGTTGAGGAGACCTACAAGATATACAGTATCTGGTGTTATGGGCTGACACCAGGTGATGCCACTGACCCCATTATTATTTTCGGTGTTTTATAAATTGACTGTCATCTAAAAAGTAAAATATCAAACATATCTCTTACTTTGCTCGGTGGTTGCAGTCTGGTCTTCTCCGCTCTGCTCTTGCTGGCTGAACAGGAAGATTGTGGGGCGGCTGGTTTGCTTGGCAGCACGACACCAACGCCCAGTGCAACCTTCCCTCGCAGTGCCATCCTTGGTTGAGCCTTGGCCACAGCAACGGGACTGGAGGTGCTGAGTCTGGTAGTTGGACGAGTTGATGATGCTGTAGAGGAAGGGCGGTTGGACAATGCTGTAGAGGCAGGACGGTTGGATAAAGCTGCATTGATCGAGGTGTGGCGGGTGGATGATGGTTTGTTGGTGGGAACACTATGGGCTGTGTTGGCGCAGCTTCCTCTCAGCAGGCGATGCTGGACAGCAGGGGGCAGCTCCTTCATGGGACTGTCCTGCACGCAGAAGGTCTGGCGTTTGATGGGGCTTAGTGCTCTGGCAGTCTTACTGAGCATGTCCAGTTTGGCCTCTGTGTCCTGGACGAACTCCTCTCTGTGGGTGGTAGTGTTGTCTGTGGTCATCTTGGTGGTCTCGGCATCCTCATGGTGCGGCTGCCTCAGCTCGCTGTTCTGCAGCTGGGTGGCTAGTTTGAGTGCTTCCTGACACACAGACTCCAGCTGATCTTCAGTCAGCGGGCTGAGGCTCACCTGCACACCACTGTCGAGGTCCTCGAGATGTGATGCCACGTTAACCGAAACACACTTCTCTTTATGGCTAACCGGACCTAAGAAAACCTCATCCTCATCTTCATCACCTTTAAAGCTGCAGAGAGAAATGTCACTGACATCACGGCTTAGAAGAACACAAACAAACAACAGAAATAAGGAATCAGAACAGAGACGAGGCTCAGACCAGCAAACTGAGGCATGAAGGAGCTGTCGTTTCCAAACTCACCTATATTTTTTTTGTAAATGAGAGTATTACCTTCAATTTTCTATTTTTGACCCTGTTTCACCATAAAGGGATAGTTCACCCCAAAAAGGAAATTCTCTCATTATCGACTCACCACTATGCCGATGGAGGGGTGTTACTCGCTTGTATAGATATTTTCATTTTAAACATGATTAAAATTAAATTATTTTAACCACATAGTGTAAATACTCCTCATGGTGAGCAAAAGTCTGTGATCATTTATTTGTCTTGTCCTGACTCTTAGGAAAGTTAGGGCCAGCGTGCACTTTATGTAAAAGGTTGGATTGTTCTTTTGTGCACATACTTTGTTCATAGTGTTTTTATATGTACATTTGATTTAATTGTTTGATTTGGAGTTTTCATTATTAAAGAAAAGGCTTCTGATTTCTGATCTGATTTCTTCCTTCTTCAATGTTAACGTTGCACATTTGATTTGGTGTAGGTGCTATATTATTATGTTTATGTTTAAGTACTTAATGGACATATATAGGATATTTTACAGACGCTATTATACTGATAACCATGATAAGCTATGTCTGGGTCAAACTCCAGGGAGGTACAAGGAGCAGACACCGTGTACATGCGCTTCCTACCTGGCAGGTGACAGAGAAACATCGAAGTCCAGCGTCTCATCTGGCAGAAAGAACAGATCTGTCCAGAAACACAAACACGCTTCAGAAACAGTCCATGGCGCACAGGAGCAGCACGTTAGCAGTGTTTAATACTGACTCAGTGTTAGCTTACCGACGTTAGCGCGACAGTCCATCCCGCGGCTGGTGCTTCTCTGTGGGAAACGTAGTGGTCCGGATCAGACCTGCAGCGGCACATTCAATTACGACATTAAACCACAACAACTATATTTTTACACCAACCTCACACACACACACCGACCTTAGCCTTCACGCTAACTTAGCTAACGTTAGCTAGCCTGTAAGCTATACACACAAACCAAACTGTAGGTGACAAGCGCTTTGAACTGGGAATTTAGACAGGAAGTTGGTTTATTCAGCGGAAAACACGATTCGCACTGAGTCACAGTTCAATTCAAGCAGAAGTTACAAACCTCAAATGATCTGAAAACTCACAAGTCAAACTGCGACACGAAAACACACTGAGGCTCCCGACTAATTCAAATCTGCTGCGCCGCGGGTCACATGACTCACACGGACCGAGCCATTGGTCGAGGGGATATGACGAGTTAAGCGAGCGGAATTGTGGGTATTGCAGTCCATAAGAGAGAAACCAGGGCCTCTTAAGGTCTTTTATACATCCATCAGTTAAAAACTGATTAAAAAACTTGAATATGCTGTGAATGTTTTAAAGCTTTCTAGATGATTTAAACATTTGATTCTCTTTACATGAACTTTCACATTAACACAGAACAAATATTATGAAATAAGAAACTAAAACGTTATATCATGTTAATATAAATTACTCAGTTGCCAACACTGAGGTCATGGGGGTCTAGTATGACCCATGGGCTGTTTTAATTATAAAACAGTCATTCTAAACACTGTTGGGTCACAAATGCAAAAGAGGCGGTGAGGCTATTTATCTGAATTACAAAAAGAGAAATCACTATGACCCTGTGACTTGTGTAAAGGACATGCCCAATGAATCCATATGTGCATCACTTGATAACAAGCAGAACCACAGACAAAATAAAATAATTCGGACTGCTGGGCAAGAAAGAGGAAATTGAATGTTTTGGAAAAAACGGATGCAGAAAGCAAAGAGGAACTTTCAGAGAAAAGAAAAGCAACATATCACAAATGGAAAGCTAAACACACAGAGAGTAAAATGAGAAATACAGAAATTGTGCTACTAATCCAACTCACAGAAAGTACCACAATGATTGAACAATGCTTGCATTAAATATGCTGCAAATACTGATTTCGACAGCCTGTGTGAGAAAAGCTGCAACTAATACGCTGCTAGTACTAAATTGTGTCAGCATGTTCGTGAGAAAGGTCGCAATAAATAAGCCGCTAATACTGAATTTTGACTACACAAAAAGGACTGAACATTTGACTCAACATGTGTTATTGAGGATTTATATAGAACAGTAATGTGTGGTCCAGAATTTGTCTGCTGTTGTTGTGTTGTGTTTATGACTCATACTAATTCACCACCACTAGGTGGCACTGTGAAATTAGGGAATTGAGGTGAGGAGAAGAAGAAGAGAGCAAACGCATGGCGGGAGAATGTTGCTGCATTATTAAACAACTGCAGAGTTTGAAGTTAAGCATCTAAAGGATTTAACATCTCCATTCTTCTTGATTCATGAATGTAACATGTTGTCACAGACTTCTTTTCAGGAAGCATGTAGGAAGAGCACACACTCCACACTGGGTGCAGACTGCAGTGAACTTGCTGATAAAAGTACTTATTTGCACATATGTGATAAATCTTGTGGGAAGAATTGCTATGGATCTGCCATACTTGTGACAATCATCTTTGAAAGAGAAAACTACCTACAAAAGGTGTTGATAACAATTTACATTAAAAGCCTATCCCTGATGAGCTACAATGTCTCAATGAGTTGGAACAACACCTTATTTCCCTGCATATTCCCTTCATCAGACTCTTCTAATTGAGAAAAGGAGGTCAGAACTCTGTGCCAGGACCAATACGTTTGACATGGGCATGCACTGTCCACAAAGTACAAGGTTTAACAACTGAAAAAGATGTTGTGTCTCTCAGCAAGGTTTATTCCTCTGGTCAAGCATATTGCTCTCAGTCGTGTAACAAGTCTAAGTGCCCTAATAATCAAGGACTTTAAGGAATCTGCCATTTATTGTAATGCAAAAGTAGCAGAAGCAACAGGCAAAATGCAGTCATTTACTGTATATCAGCTCTAACATCCAGCGGCATAACACAGTCTGCACTTACCATCATATTGCACAACACTCAGTCTTAAGGGTAACGTTTTGTACATACAAGCGAATGCTCACATAAATAATGTTGATTGCATTTGCCTGACAGAGACATGTTTAGGAGTTGATGATCCACCACAGCAACCCTGTCTTATACATAGGTTTCCAGTTCACCAGTTTCTTGTGGCCAGTTATGACAACACACTATCCACCATTGCAACATCTGAAACAAAAGTCACATGGAGGAGTTAAAAATGTATACTATTCACTAACAAAATATATCGTTATATGGCCTACAAAGGGCTACAATATTGAATGTTTGATATTTCAAATGAACAGCAATAACTTGACTTCTACAGTTCTTTACAGACCTGCAAATTAGATTTCCTTCACACATACTTTGCTCTATAATATCAAACTAGTATTAACTAGTATCCCAAGGACAATATTATCCACTGATGTTGTTACTCTTTTCTGTCAACATGTAAAACAATCCCTTAAAGGTTCAGTGTGTAGGATTTAGTGATATCTAGTAGTGAAGTGTCACATTGCAGCTGAATACTCATCTCACCCTCCCCTTGCCAACATGAAAGAGAACCTGTGGTGAACTTCAGTTGTCATGAAAACTCAAAAGGTTTTAGTTTATCTAGTTTGGAAACTGTAAAAAACATGGTGGCCTCCACAGAGAGGACCCCTCTCCATGTAAACAGAGCCGGTTCAGACCTTCATGGGGCCCTAGGCAAAATTCTGCTAAGGGGCCCTCCTAACTGAACCCCAAAAATGTTGGCTTCTGATGCTTGTTGTGCACACGTGGTTGTGTGGCTGAGACTGCCTGTTCTTCCCCTGTGTCTGTACTTGACAACGGTGGCTGTACTGGACCTGGGCTGCTTGTACTGCCTGAGGCGGCTGCATGTGACTGTCTGTGCCGGTTGAAGGTGTAAATGGCTCATCTGCGCCTGTGCCTGCACTGGATGATGAAGCTGGCTCATCTGTGCCTGTCCTATATGAAGCTGGCTCTGTCCCTCCACTGGCTGACTGGCTGGAGTCTGTGCTGCTTGTGAGAAACRTAAGCATAGCACCTGTAAAATATAGATAAGGCAACTATTAATTCAGCTCCATCAAATCYGCTGCAKWTGTTTTACTTTCATATACTTCAAATGTAGGTGATTGTTTATAGTATTATTTATTTAGCACCAGTGTCATAATATTTCATGAGTTTGATTTATAGGACATCTATATCTGCCTGTGGGCTATCCAAGCAAACTAAATTCAATCTTAGTCAATATTTATCCATTACTTTCCATTTTGTATAAGTGCATTTGTAACTATACTACAACTAAAATTATAGAAGCCAGCAAGACGCACACGGAGAGCGGTGTTCACCCAGGGCTCACCGCTCTGTTAACGTCGGTTAAACAAGGACTAGTCCCTCCCACCCGGTGAGGAGAGTTACCTGACTGCTTTTCGCGCAGTTCATTTTCATGCTGTTTCTTCCTCTTTTTTTCATTCCCTGAGGGATAACTCCGCTTCATCTTGCTGGGCTGATGCACTTGCACTGGGAATCTGATGTCTGCGACAGACGGTCACGTCGTCACCTTTTTTTTTTTTTTTTTCCACGGGGACTCTATTAGTTTGCGGGGCCCTATGCAATGTGCGTAGTGTACATATTGGGGGAACTGGTACTGCATGTAAATATAAAGTTTTTAACGTTTAATATCATTGATCCCTATTCTGCTGGAAAAACTATTATGGCAGACTCCTGGGCAGCTTTGGCTGAGGGGTAGAGCGGTTGTAGAGCGGTTGTCCTCCAACCAGAAGGTCGGCAGCCTGATCCCCAGTCTTTCCATCTGCATGCCGAAGTGTCCTTGGGCAAGATGGACTAGTGAGTATAACAAAAAGGTTTATTTTAAAGTCAAAAAAAGTTGCATAAACAAAAGGTGCTCTCACCGAGGTTCAAAAAGTAACAAAACAAACACTAGCAAAACTATGAATCAAACAAAAGATCGAAAACATGAATAGGCACACAAACTTGGCTTGGAAGCTAAACTCTCTTAACGCTTAAGGACAGAACAAGATGAAATGGCACAGGACAAAGGGAGACGAGGACTATTTATACATGAGGAAGGAGAAAACAGGTGAAACCAATCAGGGGCGGGGAAGACGATCACCAAGGCGGGAAAATCACACAAAGGGAGGAAGTCAGGGTCTCAAATGAGAGGGAAGGGGTGAGTACCAAAATATAACAGGAAGTGCACGACGAGACTAGACATGAGTGAAGTTTAACTTAACACTGAGTGCTCAAAACACACATGACTAGACATGACCTCAACACAGGCATGATATAACTTAAAACATGAACATGAATAAACTAATAAACACATTTTTTATAAAATAAAAATGGTTTATTTAAAAAAAAAACATAATTGACGAGACATTACAGATGCTGCTAATAGATGCACTGTATGAATGTGTGTGTGAATGGGTGAATTCTAGTGTAAAGAGCTTTGAGTGGTCATCAAGACTAGAAAAGCTCTATATAGATACAAACTATTTACCATTCCTATGGACCCCAGAAAGACTAGCACCACTTTTTGGAAGGGGTCCACAAAAGACTAAAATAAATGGAGTCTCCCATAACTTGAATGCAGAAAGGCTTATACAGTATATCTTCTTTCATGTAGTCTATATAAATTAACTGACAATACCAATACTGTTAAAGTTGCTTTAATGTCAAAAAGTTTCTTTTTTCTTGATTGATCAAAGCCAAATGGAATCAAAGCCATTTTCTGCTCTGTTGTTTTCAACCAGAGACATTAAACAACTGACTTCAAAGGAACTTCTAGAGAATTGTACAATTCCTGAAAGCTTATTAAGAGGTCTGCAACTTATGTTTATCATTTCTCTTCTGTCGCAAGAGAGAGTTAGACGTGCTTTTATAACTAAGTCTGTGCTTTAAGACAAACTGGAGAAATGGTGCTTTCCGTTTGTAGCCTGATTGTGGCCAAGATGTTGTACATGAATCGCAGGTGGAAAGAAAGGCCCATCTCTGAAGTGTTGCAGTTGAGCATCAACAAGAGATCAGGAAGCTCCTCCAGAAAGAGGAAGAAAATCAAACTCTGCACAGAGGAGGAAAGGCCATTTCGTGAGCCCAGTGAGATTGCTGAGGACATTGCAAGTCCTCTAGAGAGGCCCTCCAAGGTGTTAAGATCTGCCTCTGTAGTGGATCCTGCACCTGTGATCACAATCACATGGAGCAACTGGAACCTCTCCTTTGCAAAGGTAACCTATTATTTAGTTAAATTTTCCTCTTAAAGGAAT